CCGTCTGTCCGTCTGTCCGTATGAACGCTGAGATCTCGGAAACTATGAGAGTTACAATACTGGGATTAGGCACGCAGATTCCTGAGATTCCTGCGCAGCGCAAGTTTGTTTCAGTAGAGTGCCACGCCCACTCTAACGCCCACAAACCGCCCAAAACTGTGGCTCCTACAGTTTTGATGCTAGATAGAAAATTTTAACTGAAATGTAATGTTCTCATCAATACCTATCGATTGACCCAAAAAAAAATTTGCCACGCCCACTTTAACGCCCACAAACCGCAAAACCCTGTGACGCCCACAATTTTCATGCTAGATAAAAAATTTTAACTGAAATGTATTGGTCTCGTCAATACCTATCGATTGATCCAAAAAAAAATTTGCCACGCCCACTTTAACGCCCACAAGCCGCAAAACCCTGTGACGCAAACAATTTTCATGCTAGATAAAAAATTTTAACTGAAATGTATTGGTCTCGTCAATACCTATCGATTGATCCAAAAAAAAATTTGCCACGCCCACTCTAACGCCCATAACGCTTAAATCTGTATACCGCCGGTAGGTGGCGCATTTTAATCTCGCTTTGCTGCTTGCATATCTCCATTTAGCTGAGTAACGGGTATCTGATAGTCGAGGTACTCGACTATAGCGTTCTCCCTTGTTTTTATAATTAAATCATAATTAAAATTAAATTATCAAAACATTTAAATTCAAACTTTTTCCTTAAGAACTTATTAATATGGAGTAAAATTAGTTGGGTAAGAAAACAGGAAAAATATATTATAAGATATATTTAGGAAAGGCTTAGCTATTTTTCGCGACCCTTAAACTTAAAAATGCAGCTGATCTCTAACGTTTCATGGTATCATGTCCCCGCAAATCGGTCTTTTGGCTCAAGAGGCTAGTCAGACTCACTCCAAGCCAGGTCGGAATGGCATTGCCAGACCCACTCAACAGATACCACGCACTCGTAATAGATCCAGCAATAGCCACAATTTGGAGAGTCCGCTTTCTCAGTTACCAAAAAGTCAGACATCGCTGCTTCGCTGGCCACTCAAAGCTCTCTCAGTGTTTTTTCATGAATTTGATTTTTGCCTGGCTGCTGAGTTTGCGGGTTTTGTTTCTCGGGCTGGCTCTTGATTGTTTTCTGTTCCGATTTTCATTACGTGCCCCGAAGTCTTGGCGAGCTGAACTCGGAAACGCTGGAACAAACTCTGAAACTCAGAAACTCATAGACTCAGAAGCTCGGAAACTGGCGAGTGAGTGCTTTTCAGCATTGGCTGGGATCGCATTACCTTCAGAGCCCGCAATCAGTCTTCAGTGAGCGTGCGTCGGCATTGGCAGCAAGTTGGCTAAAAGCGGATCGATCCTCCTCAGTGACCAAACCCCCGATCTCTCCATCGCCCCCCGACATTTTTGGTTAGTTTGCACTTCGCCTTAACATCTGCCTGAAGTCGTGCTCCAAAACTTTTAAATCAAGTGCAAAGTGAAACGCCCCGCTGGGTGGTGCAATCCATAATAAATCAAAATAATAATAATTATATTCGCGGTGATTGCAAATCAATTGCCAAACAATCCGAGCGGAAGTGACGAAATAATTCTGAATTGTTAGAAAAGTGCAAAATGGGATTACACATTTGTTTTTTTTTTCCATTATTTGGCTTGCCTTGCGGAAAACTCATTGGGAAAAGCTGTTGACTTAGCTCTTCGATTTCCACTTAAATGTTTGTTTTCATAGCTTTTCCAGTTTTCTCAGCCGCTCTCTTAGCTTGAGCTCGTGTGTGTTAGTGTGTTTTTGAGCTGGTTCAGTTTTTCGCGACACCGATTGAGTAAGTTTTTCCATGTGGTTTTTCCAGCGCCTGCTGGAAAATTCATGGGCAGCAAAACAAACAAAAAGCGTTGTTATGATTACGCATGCAAGAATTTGTCCAGAGATAAAAGCTCTTATTAATACTTAATTTTATAGTTCCTGGATGTGACGCGTGGCTAATTTCTGTCAGGCACTTCTTCCATAATTTATTATGTTTTTTGTTTTTGGCTCACATCGAAATCTATGCCGCAAACAGGTTTGCCAAACTTCTGGAAATACGAAAATAAATAAGACAATTGTTGTGTAGGATTTCTTAATGGGCAAAACAAATTATATGGCAAAAATTTCAATTGTCCAGAATTGAAAGCAAAGTAACAAGCCGAGATGAAGTTCGTTTCTTGAGTCTTTTGATTGCATCCCTCCTCGCAAGTTCGTTGCTTGAGTCTTTTGATTGCAACCCTTCTGCCTAGAGGTTTTTTAATCATTTTACTGTCATTCAATGGAATTTCAATTTGATTTGTCTCTGTATATTTGGTGGAACTTTCAATGTTAAGGTCTACACAGCCATTTATTGCTAATGCCCAGCACAAGTGCGTTTTGTTCGACGTATTTTTTGTTCGCGTTTTATGGCGCATTGATTCGAATGCCCCTTCCACTCCTTAGTCGCCCGAAATGTTCATGCCTAGCATAAACAAAACAAAATCATTGTTACACATTTGGTTGCCAAGGCGGAAGTTAAATAAAGCAAATCGATTTGAATGGAATAAAATCATAACAGCACATGAAGAGAAATCAATGGCGCGAACCGAGATGAGAGAGATCTGTTCGTCGTAAAATAGAAAGTGACCGAAATGGATCTTTAGTCATAAACAAAACCCAAAAATTCGTCACAGTTAGAGTATACCCTCACCTCGAAACCAGAGTTGCTCAGCTAAGGTGGTTAATTTTTTTATAATTTGTCCATTAGGGCTTCTATTTAGCCTAGGGCTCGAAACTCGATATTTGCCATTTCGGGACAGCAAAAGAAATTTCCAAATACTTAATATGCAAAAACCGTGTGTAGATACTCCGACGCACACAGATACTCACCCATACCAGGGTAACTAAACACCCAGCTGGGCTTCAGTCATTTGTCTAAACAGAAATTACGAACAAAGCAAAGCGCAGACGTAGCAAAATTATGCAAATCTTAGGGCATATACAGCCACAGCTGCTCTGTAAATATCTGTATATACTGTTTATTTATACATAGTATAATCCATGTGCTATTCATAAAAAATGCAAAATATAAGGTGAGCAATAGGTACAACCCCTCAACTACAGAGATTTTTCTAAGCGCTTCATTGCATTCTTCTTTGCGGATATATTCATTTGTGATAATTTAAACAAAACTAAAAAGGCAAGTTCTAAAAATACATTCTTAAAGAATTATAATTTAAAAGGGGCGTAATATCTAATACGTTTTTAGAATTAGTCTTGTTCAAGGCCTAATAACAACTTTAGTAATATTTATGCTATCAACAAACCAATAATCAAACAAGGTCTTTGTCCCAATTTGTGTTAACCACCAAAAATGTCAAGTTCAACGATCTGGTAGCCCTACAAGGGCCATCAATTTTGGAGCTGTCAGTCCCAAGATCCCTAACTAAAAACCTGTTGGCCCAATCTAGCGAAGAACTTTACGAAGGCAAACAAAGGTATTCGAGATGAGTGGGAAATATGACAAAAATGTTGCTGGGCCAGGGCAAAATGGCGATGAATCTCGGTGGCTCCGAGTTCGAGGAAATTAAATGCAAATCATTCGATTGGGGGCCAGGCCAAGAGCAACCGAAACCAGTTAACTCCGATCGATTCAATGTTGGCCAAACTGGCGGCATTCTGTCTCTGATCCAGAAGACATCATTTGCATAATTCTGGATTTCGGATAAGGCCACATGGCGGGATTTCAATTTCGAAAGCGAAATGCCATTGAGAAAAAGGTGTTGAGTCAGGTGAAGTCAGAGAAGGTTTTTTGGAGGCTGTCCGATCTGTCAGTTGGTCAATTACAAGCTAGACAATTAGCGCTTGGGTGTTAGCCCCCGAAAAACACAGAAACACGCGCAACTATAACAACTGTATACCCAAAGAGAGATCTGTACGATCTTCGATCCGTTGTATTTATCTGCATACGATCTCTAGAGATCAACGGAGATCTGACCGTGACCGTGCATTTTGATTGAGCTGAGCTTTTTTTGTGTTGGTCCGGTCAAACTCCGAATATTTATAGTATTGGTGGGCCGATAGATCTCCTCCTCCTCCCAAGCAGACAACTCCACTTGAGATCTAAGGCTGGGCGGCCTTGACACAAATTTGGAAGCCCACGAAAATGTTCGAAATTAATCTCTCCTCCAACAAATCGTTACGCATTTCGTTAATTATGTTTTCCACCTGTGCACAGAGTTTGGGCAATTCGCCGTGTGAGATCTAACTACATCGGTTATACCTTGGTTTGATTTCTTTTTTTATTTCTGTCGAGGCTTTTCGGTTTCTTTTTTTCGGATATACGCGCCATTTGCCATTAATTAGTCGAGCTATTGATGGTTTCGGATGGAGGCGAACAAAAGGCGGCTTTGTGAATGGTTTTGCAGTTGGATGGGAAAGTACAGCTAACAGTGTTGGGCAACGGCCATGGGTTTAATTGTGGCAGCCTGACAAGTCGAAAGTTTTGGGGGTATTAATTAATGTGTGCTCAGCCACTCTAATCTATCCGGTGATTAAAGTAAAAGGTTAATTGGGCTTAAGTGTGGGAAAGTTTAAAGGTTATAATTAACACCCAATTATTTGGACGCTTTTCTCACCAGTGTTGGAAAACGTTTTTATTACTGTGTGAAAAAAGAAATCGAACCTGTATAAATTAACTTTTCCAGAACTATGGGAACCCCAATAAAATGGTCTAAGCTTTTATCACATGTTATAAACACGTTTTATATAGCTGCTTTATTATTATGACAGCTACACGCGTCAGTTTTAATTTGCCATTACTTCACAAAAATAATTACTTGTTTACTGATGGAGATCAGATTGTTAGTTTGCTCAATTTAGTTCATCAAACTATAGTACTATAGTTTACGGAATGTTGGTATAAATTGTTGTGGGTATTCCCCTTTCCTTTAAATTCAACCCCCAATACGCTCTACACAAGTTTAAAGCATTCATTCAACGTCAATAATTTTAAAGTATACTATAATATCCCAGAGCCCCGCGAGGAGCTCAGCCAAATGTATTCATAAATGTATGCAAAAATTAACTTGGATAAAAGGGCAATTCACAACGCTGTCTTGGTGTCCTGCCACCTGAAATTAGCCACCAATTATTGGGTGCTGCCACTGGAAAAGGTCCGCCAAGACTCCGAGGCGGATTTACGAAGGGACCCCATGTAGACACTGGGTCCGGCGATTACCGGCGGCATGTCCAGCTGTCCGGAATAGCTACAAACGGGGGTTGAGGGACGGGGAACAGGGGTACGGGTTTTGACGACCATCCGGAATCGTGGCGGTTCCACAGATCTACGGTCCTCCTTCCTTTTGGGCTTCTTTTTGCCCTGCTTTTCGGGGACAACCTGGGGATTCGTCATGGGTTGTACATTGTCCTTAGGCTCCTGAAAATCCTGATGCCAAAGTGTGGCCTGTTTTCGGGCAAACTTATGGAACTGCTTATCAATGCCAGAGGGTCTTCGTTTGGGCAGTAGAACTATGGTCTTTGCTTTAAGAACTGGCGGCACTATCTGATGGTAGCCACGTCTTTGGTAGTCCCGTGGATAAGAGGGCGGAATGCCCACCACTTTCTTGCGCCTCAGATGGGGCTTCACCTCCTCCGTGGTCTCCGGCTCCCGGGAACCTGGACAGGTGTTCCAGGAGTGCCAATATTCCGCCTCGTCTGCGTCCTTTTGCTTCCTTGACCACTCGGCAGTGGGACGGTTGGGATCGTAGACCAAAGTTTGACTGTCTGCCTCTTCCTCCGCTTGCTCTGGATTACGTCTCATGCGCTTGAAGTCCTCGGACTCCCTCTGCAGTTTTTCCTCCATATACTTTTGCTTTCGGGCCTCCGGACGATAGGTAATACCCGAGGTATTCGTCTCCCTTCTCGATTCCGGACGACTCTGCCACCTGCGACGATTCTGCTCGATGATGGCCTCCTGTCTTTTCTGATGGTCGGCGGGATCCTGCATGATGGTGCGCCGGTGAACGGTGTTCTGTTCTGGTTGGTGACTGTGGGCAAAGTGACTTTGGAACCTCTTCTGGGCCTCCTCGCGACGCTCCTCACGCTCCATCTGGTATCTTTCCTGGTCGTGACGGAACTTGTTCTTGGCTATATAAAGGCGATCGTTGCAATGCGATTCGTAGCCCAGTTCATCCAAACGCTCGGGAAAATCGGAAGTCCACTCACCATCGCGCCAGGGTGACTCTTTGGGAACCGAATCCTCATCCACACTCCTTTTCATGCCCTCAATTTGTTCCTGGGTCTTGTCGTCGAAGGTATAACGATCGGCATAGCGACGCTTTTGGCCGGAAGCCGCTGGTAATCGCCGCAAACTGGGAACTTCACTCCTCGCCTTATGGCTAACAAAGCGCCAACACCGATTCAGGCTCATTCGAGCCACTTTAAAAGTGGTATTCATCTTGCAAAAACAATTTTAAAAACGAAAAATTTTGATGCGTTCACCGGGTGCTTGTGTGAGTCTGTGTCTGAAAATAAAATTCCGGACTAAAATTTTAAATTTTCAATTTTGAAAGCTACAAATTTTCAACTCCAAAAAGAATGACCGAAATTTTGTGAACTGAATGCTTCGCAAACTGGGAATATTATGAGTACACTGATGACCTTTTCCCAGGAAGTAAAAGGCAATGCTAGCCCAGTTGAACAGAAGAATCGAGGACGTAGTCATGACCTACTGGGGATCTATCCAAGTCTGAGGGAATGCACATATTATGTAGATTAAATGTGTACAAAACTCTATTTTAAAAGTATGGGTTGTTTATCTTTTGGACAAGATAAAACTAAGTAGTTTTGTGTAAGTATTATCACAAATTACATATCATAAAATAAGCTCTAAGAACTTTAAGTGAAAATCGCTATACTTTCTTTGAGTATTTTGCTTTTTACTAATCTTATATCTCTCTGTGAGCTGTGAAAATCTCTTTAAGGGTTTTGTGGAATAGTTAAGATTTATCTTAAGCAAGCGGTTAGACTTTGAAGTAACACCCAAAGTAGGAGAGTGTGGAAAGCTCAAATATTCAGCCTTTAATTTCGTTGGACATTAACCCATTGAGGTTGTCTGCTTTCCGCATCGTGCACTCCACTTCCATCTAATTTTGATAACAGATTTATGATGCACTTCCGCCGCAAGCTCAACTTGACACACTGAGGAGACTATCTGGTTTTCTCGTCACTGCCCTCGATCGCCGGCTTCAGCTTTGTATTTTTTATATTCACACCGATCCAGTTGGACCAGCGAACTTGAACTAACCGATAGCACGACGCGTTTCCTTGTTTCATTTCCCCTAACCAGCTTGCCCAACCGACTTCAAATCTCAGCTGCAAATTGGCGCCGCCGACGAATCTCGAGCCCTATACGATGGCTGTCATCACGGAACATGGCGGCACCACCTCTCCCCCGGAAAACAACAATAGCCTCGGGAACGGAAAACTCCGGGTCAACGGGCATGAGTTGAGCACTTCGCTGACCATTCCGGAGTTCTTCGCCCACAAGAACATCTTCGTTACCGGCGGCACTGGTTTCTTGGGCACCGTCCTCATAGAGGCTCTTTTGGACACACATCCCGACATTGGAACCATCTATGTTTTGGTCCGCGGCAAGCGCAAGTTCGACCCGAACGAGCGGATCCGTCGACTGCTCCAGAAGCCGGTAAGTCTAGTCTCGTTATTTTTGCCTTTTTTTGTTGACTGCTAAAGAGGGGGCAGCACCCGGCCACGCCCCCTGACACGAATCTGCCCCCGACGCGCCGTCTACATGGGCTATTATTAAAGCCAATTACGAGTCTCTTTATGGAGCGCTAATTTGTCAAAGTCGTAACCTATCCGACCTCTTCCGCTCCAAGCCGGTGGTTTTTTGTTTTCTCTAGTTTTCTTGTTTGATATACTAAAAGTAATTAATAGGTAGTCTTCCGAAAATTCTTTTGATAAGATTACTAACTTTCTTTCGGAAATTCTTATAATATTTGAAATAAATTGTTGTGCCTTGGAAACCTATAGCTTTTTAATTACACGTACACTCTTTTGAAACACTTTGCATACCCAAAGAAGACAGTACCTAAATCTTCGCCCAACAAAGCGAGTCTTTCCATTATTTTGGCCTCTCTCTTTGTTTTCTTACGAGTCTCTTCACATATTGTTAATTATATTTTTAAACGCATTTTTAATGGCGTAACAAAAAGCAGCTAACAGCAAATGTTGTTTGCTTTAGAAATTGCTTACTTACGAGTGTTCCCAAAAAGGTAAAAATACAGTAGAAAACACTCAGCGCTAACAATCATAATTTGTTGGGCGTAATGTGGGCGTGGATGGTTACCAACCCGACCTCCAGACGGCAGTGAAATTAATTTGCAACATCCGAGTCTACAGGGAGAAAAAATATATTGCCTAAGCCTGGTCTTAACTAAATTAAAAGGCATACTAAAGAGTAATTGTTTGTAATTAAAATTCTTGAAATCATCGATTACCAGTTGCAACATTTAGTTTTTCGATCATAAAAGAACAAGGATATAGCCTGTCCAGATATTTTTATACAAAATAGTCATCTCCATAAACTATTTATTGCATGCAATTTACAGTCATAAAAATTTAATATGTTTTGTTCTTTATTATTTATTTGATGCGATCATCAAAACATTTTATAGTATTAATATAAGTTTTTTTTAAAATTTCTTCATTCCATTATTATAATCTTTCTTTACAGATTTTCGAAAAGTACTCAGAGAAGACTCTATCGAAGGTGGTCCCCGTGGTGGGTGAGCTGAGTGAACCGAACTTTGGCTTCGGCCCCGAGCTCCTGCAGGAGCTGATCGACCGGGTCAATGTGATCTACCACAGTGCCGCCACCATAAAGTTCAGCTCCCCGCTGCGCACCGCCATTCGCACCAATCTCACGGGAACGATGCGCACCATCGAGCTGGCCAAGCAGCTGAAGCAACTGGCCGCCTACATCTATTGCTCCACGGCCTTCTGCAATAGCAACAATCGGGGTCTGATTGTCGAAGAGGTCTACAAGTCACAGTTCGATCCGTACGAGATGATGAAGATGGCCGAGGACGACTCCGCCTGGGAGGATTTCACCGATCAGAAGTGCAAGGGCTATATCCGAGATCATCCCAACACGTATACGTTTACCAAGAACCTCTCGGAGAACCTGCTGATGGCCGAGATGACGGGACTGCCAGCAGCCATAGTAAGGCCATCGATTGGTAAGTTTCTCAAAAATACTGCAAGAATTCCTAACTTATATCCTAACTCATTTTTCAGTATATGGAACCTTGGAGAACCCTATGAAGGGCTGGGTGGGTAATGCAAACTCTGGTCACCTGGGCTTCTTGGCCGGCTTTGTGAAGGGAATTTTCCGTACAATGTGCGGTAATGCTAATGCTGTGATCGACATCATACCCTGTGACTATGTGATCAACTCATCGCTGGTCATGGGCTGGTACGTGGGCACCCGGAAGGTGGAGCAGCCGGAGATCATCCATTGCACCTCGGGAGAGGTCAATCCCCTGAACCTCGCCGAGTTCTGCACGATCATCAACGACAGCGTGGAACGGCATCCGCCCAATAGTTTTGTCTGGAAACCGGCGACAAAATTGCGCAACGGTTGGCGTTACAATCTGTTCTTCTATCTGTTCCATCTGCTGCCAGCAATGGTCTTCATCATCCCAGAGAAGCTATTCGGAATCGGAATGCCGCAGCACACGTAAGTATTATGGATAGTGCTTAAATAGGAATAAGGTCAAATACAAATAATCAGATAAATGATAAGCGTAGGGATTCTATGTTTTGATTATACAAAAATATATTTAAGTTCCCGGAAAAAATACTTGGGAATTATAAAGGCAGTTAAAACGTAGAACTATGTTGTATAACTGTAATGTTAATGTAAATGTAAATACTCACCATTTTCAGAGCCTACGAGTACATGCGGGTTTTCCAAAAGGGAACCAAGGCCTTCGACTACTTCCTGGACAAGGACTTCCGGTACTCCCTGAAGAATGCGCTACGTATATCAGCTTTAATACCAGAGAGCGATCGGAGACGCTATAATTTCGATGCCAGCCAGTGCGATTGGTCGGAGTTTATAGATCGCTGTCTAATTGGCATCCGGCGTTTCTACTTCAAGGAGTCGGCAGTGACCACAGAATGGCACCGCAACTATTGGAAGGTGTAAGTATACAGATTCTATTACTTCAAAAGCCCTTTCTAACACTTTTGACTTCTTTAGCTTCAATGTCCTTTACTACGCGGGCTATGTGGTCATCTTTGCCGTCTTGTACTTCGCTCTTACCCTAACTTTGGGTCTGCAGGTCGGTCTTACGTTGGCCGTTCTGATCTGGGGTTTCCTCGTCTGGTTGTAGACTTCTTTCCGGATCGTCAACCGTTGGATTGTGCAATATCCCCGCTCCAATTCCGAACTCTTCCACATGGTTGTCCCTTTCCATCTGTAGTTTGTTCTTAATAGGGTATCATGTATTTTACTTTTAAGTCTTTTCACACAAGCCAAGTACAAGTCAGAAAAGTGTATCATTATAATTAACAATCGAAGCAACACTAGACACGAATCTATTCACACAGCAATGCAAAAGTAGCCCAAAACTTAGTCACTTTAACTAAACACTAAATGTAAAACAAATGAAAATTATAGATTGTTGTAATAATCAACCGGTTTATAGTCAAATAGTCGAAGAATATGAGAACTAAACTTTAAATGATTAAATATGTAACTATTATTCAAATAAATATGACTTTAATGTTAAGGAAAATGAAGGTGTTTTCTTGGGTGGAAAATCTGTAGGAACAAACTATAAATCATTTGGGGACTTAAGAAACGATGAGCAAGGGACTTCAACATAAAGAGGCTTTACTGTGTATTGTTTTTGACATTTCCCAGTTGCGACTCCTAGCGGCCTTTATTAACTTATTTTTACATATTATCCATATCCCTTAAATAGAGAGAATACCGCTAGAGGGCGCTACGAAAGTAGCGAAACCCTGCCGCCGGATTATAAGACATCGTCTAGATTCCAGTTCGACGATGCACTTCCTTTTCACGCAGATGCATTTAACAGACTAATTAGGCTACTGCGCGCTGTTTGCAAAATATGTTTATAATATTTTTAAAGTTTAATTTATTTCTGTTAAACAAATTATTACGGCAATTTTTTCATCACATTTGTTGTTTAATTTTTTGGAGCACACCCACTGTGCAAGCTTATAACATACGGCTAGCCAAGACATCAACCTCTTTATCTCATTTGTTAAGCCTTGACAAAAACCTTATACAAATTTGTAATTTTAAAAATTAAATTAAAAGAATCAAGGGTTGGTGTTACCAGATTAGGAGAAATATGACTCAACTTCATGAAAAGGAAGACACATGGCGCCTTGATTCAAAAATATATCAT